TCCCAGGAAGGGCCAAATAAAGAATAAGAAGGGATCAGACCAACGACTGAGAAACTATGGTCCAAAGACAAACCCAGCCCACTAGGTTTTTGTAAAGAAAGATGTTTATGTCTCATGTGGCTGCTTTCTTACAGCAGAGCTGAGTGGGGGCAACAGGCACAGGGTGACCTACAAAGTCTAAGGTATTTACTATATTTTTACAGAAAGTGTTTGCCAACCTCTAATTTAAAGGGCTGAGGAAGCTGTTAGATTCTGCTGTGAGGGCCAGGTAAGATGGAAATCCCTGCATGAATGACAACCCCCACTGCCAGTATCTCCACAACACAGCCCTGATGAGCTTCCCTCCAAAAGTGTCTTTAGGACACTTATGTCTTAGGTGGACAGTCAAGCAGGCCCTATGAAGACCTCATTCCCTTTTTTTTTTTTTTTTAATCTCATTACCAGAATGAGAAAGAGGAAGGTATTATCCACCCATGGTGCATACAGCCCAAAGAGCAAGGAGATGATCCCAGCCAGACTACCACTATGGAGACCATAACCAGTTACCATCACCACCACCACCTTCATCACTGCCCTCATTACTGCCACCACCATCACCTTCACCACCTCCATTACTGCCACTACCACTATCACCACCTCCTCCATCACTTCTCCCTTCACCACAAGCACAGCTATGTCGATTATATAACCACCCTCAACACTGCCTCCACCGCCTCACCACACCATCCTAACTAGGGGGCCTCTGACCCTTTTCAGACACTGTGGAGGAACAAAGGAAAGAGAGAAAAGTACACATTCTCTCCTTCCCAGAGGCTGAGTTGAGACAGTACAGGCCCAGCTGTCAGAAGGTGTCAAGAAGACCCTGAGCTCCAGCCACACCACCAGAGTCAGGACGGCGAGGACAGGCAAGGCTGGTCCTCTCCCACACAGAGAGGTGACTTGGTGCCAGGAGATTATGTTTCTGAGTTGGTCAGAGTTGAGCTCAAACCTGACTCTGCTCACTGTGACCAGATAAGTTACGGGGCCTCTCTGACCCAGTCTGTGGCGTGGAGACCATGCCCGCTTCGTCGGACTGCTGTAAATCAGGAGGGGTGGAACCTGAGTTCTAGAAGCCTGAAGATTGTCTGGTATATAAGAAGTGCTCAAGAACGGGGAACTTGTTTTGTATCTCACTGTTTCGAGATTTCCATTCTGGTGTATAAATAGGTTTAAATCAACCTATGGTTTTTGCTCCCTCCCAGAAAGGGCGCTGGGGGAGGGGCAGCCATGGAAAGTCTTGGGCTCAGGGGCAATTGACCCAGGACCAAAGCATACCAGGCAGGTGGAGAAGCACATATGGGCACAGCTCCTTCGTGAGAAGAACTATGAGGAATTAAACGAAGAAAGAAAAAATCAACTTCAAAATATGTAGTTTTCATTGGCGAAATAAAGAATATGTCTGCTTTAATCCTAGCAGTCTACTGTGTGAAGCTGCCCAGGTGAAACAAGCGTGCAGGCTTGATTCAGAACTGGGGCAAGGAGAGATGCCCAAGGGTTCCCTTTGGGGCCTGCCAGTACCTGCTGCTCTGTGTCCACAGTCCAGTCTGTGTGGACATGATGGGTAAACGCAGACACAAGACAGACTCAGGAGGAGCTCTGCCTGCCCCCTCAGCCCCTATCCCACACCATCCCTTAGAACAGTGCCCAGGGTCCCCCTCCCCCCAGTAACCCCCACTGTTGTCCCTCCTCCTTGACTCCCACAGCCTGCTATGGTCTCTTCCTGTCTGGCACTCTGCAGCCTTTCCTGCCCACCCTTCTCTTCTCAAACACCCCCCTTACTTTTCCTACTTTACTTCTCCCCTGGGAGAAGTGTACCCCTCTCCCCCTGAGCCCTTGGGCCAGCCCAAAGAATGAGGACAAGTGTGAGTAGGCAAGGACAAAATAGAGCAGCCAGACCACCTGGCCCTGAACGCTGCATCCCCCACTCTGGTGTCAGTGGTCCAGCGCAGGCGGCGTGTTTGTCCATGGTCAACACCTGCTTCCACCCGGCCTGCGGGGAAGGTGTGCTGGCCACGAAGCTCAGGCCTTGCTGGGCAGATGGAGCTGCTGTGCCTGCCTGGACCAGGGAGAACTGGCCCCGCTTCCAGAGAGGCCCAGGGAGACTGAGCCTCAGCCTGGATGCCAGCTGCTCTCTTAATTAAGGAATGTGGGGAGTGGCCCCTTTGAACTCAGCAGCTAATTTACTCAGCACACACCCCCCTGCGGCTGGGTAATTAGTGTGGTCTCAACCAGTGATTAGTAGGGGGACCTGCCCCTCAGACTTAACCCTTCCTGGCCTGCATCAGTCCTTTCTCCAGATGTGGTTTTCCCTTTTAGGGAGGTGGGGCCTTTTTCAGACCTAGCTAAACCCCCTCCACACCCCTCCCTCAGTTTCCCTGAAATCCTTCTCAAGGAAAAGTGTTGGGGCTTGGGGGTAGAGAAGATTGAGATGCATTTCCTGCTTGGACAGACCACTGTGGATGGCCATTTCTTCTTAGCCCCCTCCATCTGTGCCCCACACTCCCTGACCTGTGCCCTCCCAGACCTGGGCCTGACAACTCCAACCCATTGATCCACCTCCATGAGCTTGGTGGGTGCCACCTCATGGAAGCCTGTCCTTGTGATGTACTGGGGAGCAGAAATGAAGGGACCCTATATCCACCCCCACAAGCTCCCAGACTGGGAGAAGACAGCAGTGGACACATGGCTCGGCCTTTGTACACACCTACCATGTCCACCACTCCCCTCTTCCCTTGTAGGCCACTAGTAGCAATGGCTAATTTTGGGGAGGGACCATTGTTTATAGCCCTGCTGTAAACCCACACCTGTGTCCATCCCTTCAACCTCCCAGGCCACCTAGAGGTAGAGTCTGCTATGAGCCCCACAGTGCAGACCAAGACCCCAACACAGAGAAGCCACTTGGTTCAAGGTTTCACAGAAACAAGAAGCCTGACTAGAGCTGAAGCTCTGACTCCTGCCTGTTGCTATCACAAACCTGTGCCACCTTCCACCGCCCAGCCTGGACCTGCGTCTGCCCTCTGGCTCCCAAAGCTCTTGCCACACCGATTGTAATGACTGGGTCACATCCACCTGCTCAGCTAAGTGGGGCTTTGCCTTTCATGTCTGTGTCCCCAGCGCCTGGCACACAAGTAGATGCTCAATAAACATATGAGGCATGAGTGGTAGAATGGACAGGGGACTCATCAAAGGTCCTCTCCTTGGGCCTCTCCCAGAAGCTAAGTGGCTTCTAAATTCCACAGGGCTCCCCTTCAGCCCTTCTCTCCTCTCTAGAGAGCCCATTCACACTTCAGTCAGGCCTACCATGAAGCCGGCCCCAGACTCCCTGCCTCTTTCTCTCCCAACCTGCCCTGTATGCCACCCACCCTCAAGGAGTCATGCCTGCTCAAAGTGGGCAAGCAGAGATTCTGGAAGGTTCCCTCCAGCAGTCAGCAAAGTTGAGGTCCCTGGTATCCAGAGTAAGTCTAATACTTCCGCAGTATTGAAGGCGTCCATAGCCTGACAGCCCCTGCCCGCCACAACTTCCCTTTCCATTCTGCTCAAGGGCCAGTCTCTGGCCCTCTCCTTTTTCTATCTAAATCATGTCCATCTACAAGGTGAAGCCCAAGTTCCACCACTTAAGGAAGCACCCCAGCCCACATCCCCTGGAACCCCCTTCCCCAGGCCTTCCTGCAGCAGGGACAGCCTTCGTGCCCATGACCCACAGCAGCCCTGCCTTTAGGAGCCTGTACTTCACAGTTGTGTCTTATTCTACAGCTTGGTCAGAATATGGGGTGGGCAGGAATCCCACCCCAGACCCTGCTCATTTCCAGCATCTCTGCTTCTCAGGGGCCTGGTCCAAGGAAGTGTCCCCTCTGACTGGTGAGATGCTCTGCAGGACTAGACACTTCAAGTCACATCTGGACGCTCTGAATCTTCCTGTCTTCTCACACCTTCCCTCACCCAAGGAACCAAGTAACACTAAGAAGAGACAGAATGAGAAGAGGAGACTAGGACACATACCACATGCCAAAGGTCAAGCCCAGTCCCAGCCCAGCAGCCCTGAGACCTCTGCAAGGCCCTAGCCCGCTCCGTCTCCAGGTTCCCTGGTCCCAGACAGGGGGACAGTAAGATCTTCCTGGAGAAGAATTTAGGGCTTCCACCCACCTTAGCAAAACACACGACTATGTCTGGAATATACACACTTGCTTCCTACACATCCTCTCAGGGGCTGGGGTCACGGAGATGGATACAAGACCTCGCCGATGATGATCTGTGCATGAGAAACTTCCAACACAGAGACTCAGAGGATGAGGGAGAAGGAGCAGGCCCAGGGGAGGAGGGGAGGCCCCACTCTGCCTGAGGCCTGGAAGGCTCCAAGAGGAAGCTTCAGTTGCAAGGCGGGCCAGGTCAGGTGGGGAGGGGCCAATGAATGGTTCAGCATGGCTGGCAGAAGGACAAGCATATGGAAGTGGGAAGTGGTAGATCTGAGGGGGAGTCTGGCTTGATGTGTGTAAAGATCCCAGGATGGGGATGGTGGAGCAGCGGGGAACAGCAGGCTGGAGTTGCTCCCGAGAGCCTGTGTGCTTTATCCTCAGGGCTGCAGGAGCCACCGGGGGATTTTAGCCAAGAAGTGACTTCAGAGTGCAGTTTAGAGGATGCTCTGGCTACAGAGGAAGGGCAGAGAGTGGGCAGGGTGAGATGTGAGGAGGATGTGGTCTCCCGCAGCGACCTATGGTCACACCGGCCAACCATCAGCACGAGAAAGAAGCTGACTTACAAGAATCAGCTCCTGAAAGCCAGCCAGGCCCGCGACCAACTTCCACTTTGCTCTGGATGTTTTCACTTTTGGGGCATCTTGTTCTGAGTCAAGATTCCGCCTTCCAAATGTGGGGCTTTCCGGAAGGAACACAGTTCCTTCTAAGCATCCCCTTGCCCTGGGATGTTCTAGATTGGGAAGAGAGTGTGCCTGCCTCTCGAGAAGGATGGCTGTGTGGCCCCTGTGGAGTCTGCTTCTCTGGGAGGGTAAGTGAGGAGAGTGGGTGGTCTATGCCCAGAGAGCCAAGAGTCCCTCCCCAGCCTTCCCCACCAGATATCTGAGCAGGGATCCCCACCCCAGGTGAGAACCCAGGAGCTAGGGAGGGGAGTGAGGCAAGTCCTTGGGCATCTTTAAAGATAGGCAGATGCAGAAAGATACAGGTCCTGGGGGAGGGGCAGCCCCAGGAGCACCCACGTCCTAAGGACAGAAGCTGTGTTGGGGCCCCGGCAGTTAAAACTGAGTCCGGTGGCATCAGTGATTTGGAAAGAAGTGATTGTGAGAATGGCCGGGGCCTGGCAGTGTTGACAGGTAGAAATTCTAAATACAACCTGAAGAGAGAGAGGTGGAGTGGGGTAGCCTGGGCTCCTACAGTAGGAAATGTCTTTCCAACATTTTGTGGGATCATTGAGGTCCCCCCTGCAGGCCTGTGTAAGGGAAGGGATCCTGAGTGGGGGTGATAGACAAAAGCAGGTTAAATGTAATACATACGGACTTGGGGTTGCCACTGTGATGCTGGAAAGGCTGGCAGTCAGGTACCTCAGCTCTGGGAGATCCCTCCATCCTTCCTGACTCCTGGCTTTCCTTCCTTGGTTACCAAGGGATCCTAAGACCAAGATCCTAAGATCTACTTTCCAGTGTCCCCCGATCAGGCCCGCGGTCCTAGCCTTGAGGGTCCCTGCAGATTTCAACATTTATAGATGTGGAGGAAATCCCTCAAAAAAGGCTTCAATCTGTTTGATTCACAAGTCTTTCAACTCATTGGACATGGGAGGCTCAAATAACTTGTTAAAAAGGTTCTTCATGGTAGAGCTAGGTGCACCCCTCATTTAACCAACAAGAGGAGGGACCTGATGATGGCCACACAGCTTATCTGGGCCAGAGCCATGACCAGGCAGGACCTGGGGGTCCTGACTGACATGCAGGGCAGATCTGTCTGTGTCACCCCTATTCTGCTTAACCCTGAAGTCAGCACAGTCAGGCCTGAGATGACTGAGGTCAGAGAGGGCAATGAGGTGGACAAGGTGGCGTGCCAGCGGGCGGCTGAGTGACCCTCCAGAACAACCCCAGCACCTGCATACATTAAACATCGGCCCTTGCCTCAAGTCCACCCCGTGCCAGGAGGAGGTCAGTGCTCAGCAAATCCATCTTTCATGCAGGGGTGTGTGCCTGCTTCTGCCGCCTGCTGCTACATAGGTGTGGGCCCGGGGAGAGGAGATGGAAGAGCATTTAGAGGGCAAGCGAGCTACTGACTCATAAATAGGGGGACTGAAGGGGGATGAAGCAATGGCAGCGGGGAGCCCAGGCCACTGGGGAGCACAGAGTGGAAACTGTGGTGGCAGGTGGAGAAGTCAGGGGCATTGTGGCTTCAAGGGTGAGTGTCACCTACACCCGTCAGCTCAGTTTGTTCCCAGCAAAGCTCAGCCTGGTTCTGCTTCTCCTGTTCCGGACCACAGGGAATGGACCCAGTGGGTCTCACTGACCTGGCAGCCTTCCTCGTGTCTTTGTCTCCTTCACTGCCAGATCCCATCCACACCCAGCTCCACCGTGACCCTTCTCCCCACGCAGGGCGCCCCTCCACAATATGTGTTTCTACCATTTGCCTTTAGACAAACACAGCAGCTCCAAGCTGTTCAGGGCATTCTCTACTCCTTGCAGGAGCTTCCAGCACCTCCTCACGCACCTGCTTCAAACATAGCCCAGGTCCCCATGGCTGGAATGCTAAACCCCAGGTTCCAGCTTTGCTTTCAGTGCTCTGAAGGCTGTGAATCTGCACCGCTGGGCAGGGCAGTGTCTCATGCCACAGAGAACTGCCTTCAGTTTCCAGTGCACAAGCTTCTTCACCCTCCGGGCCTTGCACCTGCTCCCTTTACCTGCTATACACCCCATCCCTCCGCCTACACTACTTCCCCACACGGCTACCCCCACCCCTGCCACTTGGTGGCCTTCTTCCTATCCTCTTCCATCTCAGCTTAACCAGTTCTCTGGGAACCCCAGACTTGGGGAGCTTACTCTACCTGTGTTCTCCCAGACCTCCTTCCCATGGTAATACCTCATATATTTTTATTGTTTGCTTAAAGTCTGGCTGCTTCTCTGAGCTCCATGGACCCAGGAACAAGATTCTCCTTACTGTTGTGTTTATTCCCAGACCCTGACTCTGTGCATCCTCAACTCACATGCCTCTGCCCGGCACCTGCTGGCAGAAACTAACTCTGTTCTTTCAGCACTGCTTGCAGGGGCAGTGGCTGGGGCCCGCGTGCACGCCCGGGTGGGGGGTTCAGCGCTGCTAGTGGCAGAGCCACCCCCAGGTTTCCAAGTCCGAGAGGTCATCTGGAGATCGCTCTGGCCTTCAGAAGAGCTGCTGGCTACATTTTTCCGGGGTTCGCCAGAGATGCTGTACCACTCCCGCTTCCGGGGCAGAGCCCGGCTGCACAGCAACCTCAGCCTAGAGCTCTGGCCACTACAGTCTGGAGACAGCGGCAACTTCTCTGTGCTGCTGGTGGACACGGGAGGCCAGGCCCTGACCCAGATGCTGCAGCTCCAGGTGTATGGTGAGTGTCCCCTGAGCCCACTCCCACAGAGTTGGAAGGGTGTCCTGCCAGAAAGAGCTCGGAAGACGAGGTTCCAGAAACCTCTGGCCTCTGATCTCAGTTCTGATTCAGGCAACAGTTGCACCCACAGCCACATCTAAGAGAACACCTCAGGCTCCCCAGGGGAGCGCCTGCCAGGGCTGGCCACCCCGCCTTCCTTATCTGAATCCCAACTCAACCTTTTCTTGACTCAGTGACCCCGAACACCTGCTTAGTTTCCCTGAGATTTCCCTTTCTCATTTGTAAATGGGCATCAAAATGTTGCCATATAGTTGCCCATGAAGGTGAAATTCAGAGGCTACAGGTGCTTCATCATTTCAAGCCATCAGCTACTTTATGCACCACTAAAAAGAAAGATAAATATTGCCAATAAAACTATGACACGGTGTTTCATTTTGAAAGTTAAATTATTATTGAAGAATAAAAATTTTATTTTATTTCTTTTTAATTTTCTTTAATTGGTTGGGCTTTCTTTTTAAGAATCAATTTATATTTTTGTATTGAGGCAACACTGGTTTGCAATACTGCGTGTGTTTTAGGAGCACGGATCCACATTTTGTTTTATCTTTCTTTCTGGATGTCATTTAGAGATTTTTAATTTCATGTTATTCATTGATTCTCTCAGTTATTCATTGCTGCAAAACAAGCCATCCCATAACCTACAGATTAAGTGTGGCATTGGTGGAATAATGGTGAGCAGAGTTGCCTTCTATAAACCTAGAGGTTAAAAACTATTTTTCATTTCTCACAATTCTATGGGCTGGCAGGGCTCAGCCTGGAGGATCTTCTGCTCCATGTAAGGCTCACTCACGCATCTGCTCTAAGCACCTCAACAGATGGCTGGTTCACAGGGGTCTACTCAGGCCTTTCTCTGCAGTAACTCTACCCCCCCCCACCATCACCACCACCTCCACACACACCACCATCACTACCTCCACCATGTCACCTCCACCTCCCATACTACCTCCACCACCATCCCTGCCGCTACTCACCCCACCTCACCTGCCCATATTACCTCCACCATATTTCTGCTGGTCAAGGAAGGGTGACTTTTGGCTCTTGTTTATCTACCTAAAGGCTTGGAAAAGATCTGAGCAACCCCCAAACCACTATTTTATTAAAATCTCAAAATTTGGTTAGAGTATAGGAGAGAAAAAGCTTCACTATTAAGAATGGTTGGGTGATAGCCGAGAAGAAGGAAACAGTGATGGACAGAAAGACAGTAAGTAAATTTGGGAGGATGAAAAACCCCAGAGACAGCTAACTGTTGTGTCTGGGTGAGAGGCTCAGAGTATAATTAGAGGGTGCAGAGGAGAGGTGTGCAGCCCAGAACAGGGCCACCGCTTGGTGAGCAGAGAGCTGATTCTATATCATGACCTCCACTTTCACCTCTCACCCCTTAGCCAGCGCCCTTATGTCATGTGAAACCTGCACAGCCGCACAGGCAGCCCTGGATCCTGGGTCTCAGCCGCCGCACATGTGAAATGAGGACATTGATGTGGTAATGCATGCAGCACCCACACCACTAAGCTCTAAAATGCCTGTTCTCAGCATCTGAATTACAGATTTTAAGGAAATTGCTGTTTTATTGCTTCCAAATACATAGCGTGATTAGAACTAATTGCACAAAGCTGCCAAGCAGCGGCCTTAGGAGCTCTGCTTTGACAATAGATAAGAATGATTTGAATTAGCAGATCCGTCACTAGCAATGTCAATGGGTGTTTCTACTGTGCAGATCGTGTTTGGAAGCAGCATGTCCTTTTAAGTGGTGTAAATATCCCCCCTGTAATCTTTGTTTATACTATTAGTGTGCCCAGCAAATCTTTCCTTTTTTCATATCACAAATCCCACCAGATTGAGCTGGCATTAATGAGGTTTTACTCTGCTTGACTTTGAAATGCTGTCAGAGACTGAGGCCTCCTGTTGTCACTAGAATGCTCTCCCGCTGGCCCCCACTGCCACAGAGACAAGCTTTCCTCATCAACCTGGATAGCAAAGGGGAGCCACAGCCTAGGACAACAGGACTCTAGTTCACTGAACAGCCCTAGTATCTCTGCACCTGGGGAGCTAGAGACCAGAGACAGCAAGCCCCTGCTCCTCTATAGCAATCTGCACTCTTGCAATTATTGTCTTAATTCTTCATAACCACTTGTCAGTATCTGTCTTACTCACCAAGCTATCAGCTCCAAAAACCCAGGAATCGTTTTTCTTGCCAGTCTCCATAAATGTTCACTGTCCTTTTGAATGAAGTTTCATGAGGGAATTATTGTGACAAGGAACAGACAGAGTGCTAGAGGGCTGAGAGCCATTCCTGAAACATCAGGAAAAACTGTACCTTCAGAGCAGTGTGTCCCAGCGGGGCCTTGAAGGGTGGATAGGAGTGTTCTAGGAGGAAGAGAAGAAAGGCATGTGGTTTGTGAAGGCATGAACCAAATGGAAAAGCACGACATAGTTGGCAGACTCGTACATTAGTCAGGGCAGGCGGGAAGACCAGCAGGAGGCACAGCTGGAGAGGTTGATCTCAGCTATTTCATGAGGGGTTTTGAACATCAAGCTAAGTATTTAGGATCTGTCTCATGGGCAGTGGGAAGTCAGACATGGCTTTGGAACAAGAGTCACCCAGTCAGAGGTGGCGTGAAACTTCTGAGGATCCTGGGACAGCACCAAGCCCCTTCCCCCCATGCCTCCCTGTAAACTGCTTCACTGTTCTTGCCCAGATGCTGTACCCAGGCCTGTGGTGCAAGTGTTCATTGCTGTACCAGGGGATACACAGCCTCCCAAGACATGCCAAGTGTTCCTGTTCTGTTGGGCCCCTAACATCAGTGACATCACCTACAGCTGGCGAAGGGAGGGGGCCATTGATTTTGGTGTCGAAACTCCTGGCCTCTTGGAAGATGGACAGGTGCTCAGGGCTTCTCTGGGACCAGGAGACCAGAGTGTGGCCTATTCCTGCATCGTTTCCAACCCCATCAGCTGGGACTCAGCCACAGTCACCCCTTGGGAGAGGTGCCATCGCAAGACAGGTATGCCAAGGGCCAGGGTCAGGGCTGAAGGATTGCAAAGCATCTGGTCCACCTTGACTCTGGCCCCTTCATGTCCAACTCCAGGGGGAGCCTCCTACAAAGATGTGCTACTGGTGGTGGTGCCCGTCTCACTGTTCACGGTCTTGGCCGCTATCTTCTCTGTGTGGCACTGCAGGCCCTGCTCAGGTAGGCTCCTGCAGGTGCTTCAGGTGGGGAAGGAGCCTACCTATTAGGAAGGAGTCCAGAGGGTGGGCCTCCCTTTCTTTGGGCTTCAGATAGTTTGCCTGCCAGCCTCTGCCAACCCTTTCCATGACCCTCCAGCTTACATGCTGGTCCCCAGTCAGACTGGGCCGCCTTCAGACCTTGCACCTTCTATTCTCTGTCTGGAACACACACCAGACACACCCCTCTCCTTCACCATTCGTCTAGCTCCTACGTGATCGTTAAGGTAAGCCAGCTCCAGGAAGCCTTCCTGACCTCCACCAGCCCAAACTTAGATGGTTTCCTCTCCATAGCTTACCCCAAGCACAGATGATCTGTACTTTCTCTCCCACTGAATCTCAGCCTGTTAAAGGCAAAGCCTGGTCACTACCAGCCACTTTGCAGAGGTTCCTGGGACAGCTGGAATGAATAAAGGTTCCTCTTATCCCCATACCTAGGAAAAGGCTCCCTTAGAGAGCCCCTCCAGCAGGGCTGACTGGGCCTCCCTCTGAGGAGAAGAAGGAAGGGAACACTGGGGATCCACCAGTTCCAAGTTCTCCACCTGGCTCAGCCCTGCTCTGCCCCTGGCCATTTAGCCCTGAAAGAACTCCAATTGCTGGGGGACACACCCATCCCAGCTCTCCTGGTGTTATGGACCATTAGTGGTCAGAGACCTCAGGCCAGGGCAAATGTGCCAAGAGCCCCAACACTGAAGGGTAACCTTCTTTCTAATCTCCTTGCCAGGGAAAAGGAAGGAAGTATGTGCTGACAGAGCAGCTTCAGAGACAGAGACACCCCTGGTGTAGAGTTTGCCTGAGGGAGGGACCCCACTGCCAGGCATGTGATTGGGTACAGCTGTGCCTGGAAACACCATGGTCCTTGTGCCTCCTGAGATGCCCACCTGGCCTCCTGTCACACTGCGGGCCGTGACACAGAGGACACTGGCCCAGCCTTGCACATGCTCCCTCTTCTTTCTGCATGCCCTAACTCTGCTGTGGGCAAGATGGACCCAACAGGACATGCCCCTAAGGACACTGGAAGTTCTCCAGGATCCAGGAACTGATTGTCCAAGTCAGTCACTGAACACACTGTTCAGTGTCAACTGAATTTGTCCCCTCAAAGTTCATATGCAGGAGTCCAACCCTATGTACCAGATTATGACTGTAATTTGTATGGACCTGTCCCACCACCCGGAAGAGCTGTGTAACACTTGAAAAGTGCCAGTGTGAATGATGGTTTCCTGAGTGGCTAAAGCAGAAATCCTCTTAGCATGGCAGATGAGACTCTTCCAATCGGGCGGGAGCTGCCTCAGATCAGGAATGATGAGTGTGTGGCATATCCATCAGGACTCTTGCCTTCTGGGACATGCGGGATGTGGCTAACCAACGATTTCGACATACTTTCCCACTGAGTCCACATGTGGCTCAGAGATTGGAGCTAGAGCTAGGATGAAGCCTATTTGTATTCCTGCCTGAGACAACTCATTAAATCCTTCCAACATTAAGAATGAATCATAAATTAAAGCAATGGATGAATAAATAAAGGAACAAAGAGATCCATGTAGGATGGGGGAGGGTGTCAGAAACTAGGTCTCGCATCCATAAGGAAGAACTGTTCAAGCTCCTTCCTCCACCACTTTTCTCAGGAAGTTGCTCAGGGATTATGTCAGAACTGAAAAAGGAGAAATTGATGGAAGCTAGTATTCCTATGGCCAGAAAAACACGTGAA